GTGGCTGCACGCCTGTCCCGGGCTCTCGTGCAAACCCTGGGGGTTCTGCTCTTTGGGGAACTTCCACGGCCTCCTCTGTCTCACGCCTGGCCCGGCGGCCTCCTGGCCGATATGAACGCTACCGGGGGAGGGCGGGGGCGGGTCTGGCTCCTCTCCTGGCCGGGAGGGAAGATCGGGCCAGGCGTCTCCCCCCCCAGCACACAGCGCCGTCCCTTAAAGTCAGGGCTGGCCGACTGCACTGCGCGCGGCCGGTCCGCGGCCCGGTCAGGACCCGGGTTCTGAGCAGCTCGCCGGCGCTGCCGGTCCCCGGACCTGGGTCCTGACCCGGCAGGCGGGGCGGGGAGAGCACGGGGCGTTGGGCAGAAGTATTTCTGCAGACGGGGGAACAAGTGGGCACCCACGGAGCAGCTTCAGGCCGGAAGGGACGCCCGGCCGGCTGCTGACGCCGCTGTTTTCGGTTAAAGACACAGCTGCGCGGCCCAGAGCGGCCCAGGTCCTGCGTCTCAGGAGAGGCTCGCCTTACCTGTGAGGTCTCCGAATCCTGCGGCCTGGCTGCTCTCCGCATCCTCCAGGCTCTCGGCGGCGGGCCCGGGGGGCCGGGAAGGGTGGGAATCTAATCTTGGGCTGGGTCGACGAGCTCATCTCTCACTCCGTCTCCGCTCCCGTGCTGGGGCTGTGCTTTGCCTGAGCCCGGCTGCAGAGCACAGGGGACCCCTGCAGCCCATGCCCCCCGAGGGGCCTCTAGCACGTCTCAGCTGCACTCACAACAGTCCTGGTTGTGACTATAGCATTATCCTCCCCACCCAACAGTGAGAAGACTAAGGCCCAGAGAGGTTGAGGGACCTGCCTAAGCCCACACAGCCCAGAGTCAGAGCTGGAACTAAAACCCAGGTCTTCAGATCCCGGCCCCCCCACTCTTCTCCCACGCCCCCGAGTGTCCCCGAGACCCCGGCTGGAGCACTGACCGCCGGTCAGGCACAGTGTCTCTCTCGATTCTCACGATGACCTTGCGGTTCAGGTGTGTCATTCCAGTTTACAGGGTAAAGAAGGTGGAGTCCCAGACGGCTGGTGCTTTTCCCCTGTGAGCCGTGTGGCTGGGGTTTAAGGCGCGGTGGCTCACGCCTGTCATCCCAGCACTCTGGGAGGCCGAGGCGGGAGGATCGCTCGAGGTCAGGAGTTCAAGACCAGCCTGAGCAAGAGCGAGACCCCATCTCTACTGTAAATAGAAAGAAGTTAGCTGGACAACTAAAAATATATAGAAAAAATTAGCCGGGCGTGGTGGCGCATGCCTGTAGTCCCAGCTACTCGGGAGGCTGAGGCAGGAGGATTGCTTGAGGTCAGGAGTTTGAGGTTGCTGTGAGCTGGGCTGATGCCACGGCACTCTAGCTCCGGTGACAGAGTGAGACTCTGTCTCAAAAAAAAAAAAAACATACTCTGCAGTTTCATGCCCTGGCCCCCCCCTCCCCCCCCCCCCCCGTGCTAGCCACTGACTAGCGGCGGTGCAGGTGGGGCGGGGAGGGCGGTGGCCGTCCCTCTGCGGTCCCCTCCCTCCCCTTGCCTCCTTCTCCGCCGTCTTCCGATGACCCCCGGGGAAAGTCCGGCCTCCACGGCAGGATTCCCGCCTCGCTGGGCAGCCCAAACGCTCGTGCCCACGGGGCCAGGGCCACCATGGGGTGCGATGTGCTCTGACAGGTGCTGTTGCTCCCAGGCCTTCTGGAAGCTTCCCTAACCCTGTGCTCCTCTTGCTCTGCAGGCGCCGAGCCTGGACTCCGCTGTGGCTGGGGCGAGTCCCCAGAAGTGGGAGCAGAGCCGGGCCGCCCTGCAGCCATGGCAACGAGGGGAAGCAGAGAGAGGCCGGCAAGCGACGCCTCGGCCCTCCTGCTGCTCCGGCCTCTCCTCGGCCCGGTGAACACAGAGACCAAGTGGCGGCCGGACTCGGGGACCGCGGAGCTGCTGGAAGCCGTGGCTTGTCCCCGCAAAGACCTGCAGAGTGTCCCGCGGTGCTGGCCCCAGAGAGGAGCGTCTACACTCCCCGTCACATGCGGGGTCCGCTGAAGGCCAGCCCAGGCCGTGTGACCCGATCCTCGAGCAGCCCCATGACCTGGCTCGGCCAGCGGTCTGCAGCCACAGCTTCCTGCGGAGGCTTCTAGAACCATCCGCCAACGCCTGCTCCTCCCAGGCCTCCGGCCGCTGGGAACGGTATTGAGACTGTCTTGCCAGCGGAGAAACCGAGTCCTGGTTCTTGCTGCCAGAAGGAACTCCGGGGCCAGTGCAGAGGGCGGGCGAAGAGCCCCCGGCGAGACCTGGGACCCGTGGGACTCGTCACACACGCGTGTTTCCCGCGCACACGTGGCACGCTCAGCCCGGGGCAGGAGAGTGTGTGCAGCCTCGGCCTGGCAGTGCGGGCAGGTCTGCGGGTGGGGCGGCCCCTCTGCGCCCTGGGCCCGCCTGCCGGCTCGGGGACACCGCGGAGGTCTCCCCCGGGTTGGGAAGCAGGGCCCCAGTGCCCAGCCCTGCTTGGCTGCCGTCGTTCTCACATCCACACGGAAGCGACGCTCTTCTGTCTTCGAAATGACCAAAAAGTGACGGCCGGAAGGTGTCAGAGCTTCGGCGTCCATGTCACCTGCCCACGCTGTGCCTGGGCGGTCAGACTCCCCCCCCTCCCCTCCCACGTGGCTGGACGGGGCCACCTGGTCCGTGAGGCCGGCAGGGGCCCCCGCTGGAGCCTGCCTCCGCACCTGCCACCCGCCTTGCTACCCATCACACCCCTCTGCCGGGCGGAGGTGCCGGTGTGGCCCTGAGCCCAGGTCCCCTTCGTGGGGGGGTCCCGCGAGACTTGGGGCTCTTTGGCAGCAGACAGCGAGCCGGCTTCAGTTTCCCTGCGCTCGTTGGGGTGGAGAGCAGGGCTCCCGCCTTCCCCTGAGGACCGCAGAGCTCTCCCGTCCCTGGGGTCCCCTCCTTTCTATCGCACAGACGTGACACCGCGCCCCGCCCGCCGGGGGCCCTGGGAGAGGCCCCGTCCCAGGTGCTGCTGGGCAGCCTGGCCTCGGCGGCGAGAAAGGGCCTGTTGTTCTGCGCAGGTGGGCCGGGCCCGGCAGGGAGCCCGTAAAGAGGACACCACTGGCCTTGATTCTGAGGCTGCCGTGCCTCCCTCCCGCGGCCCCCCCAGCTCACCTGTGCGGAGGTGCCAGGCGGAGGCCCGGCGCCCCTTTCAGACCGTCCCGCCCGCCCCGGCTCGCTGGGCTCACGCGGAGAGCTTCCCGCTGAACGGGAAGGTCGGGGCGATCGGATTCCACCCGGGCTGGTTTGAAGGGAGGAACCCCTGTCGGGTGAGATCGATGTTGGCCCCTTTCTGTCTGTCTGTCTGTCTGTCTCGGGGCACAGCTACAGTCGTGTTCAGGGAGGGATTGGAGGCTGGAGCCGGCCACTCCCAGAGCCCGTCTAAGCTCCGAGTGACAGCCGCGGGGGACTAGGGCACAAGGACATCTCTCCGAGTCCCATCATATTCCGAATGGGAAATCTCACATCTTCTTAAAAGACGTTCCTGCCTTGAGGTTTATCTAGATAGATTCCCATGCTCGCTTTCTATGTGAGAAAAAGGGGGAAAAAAAAAAAAAAAACAACAACAGCGGCTTTAATAAAATAGACATTTAATTCTCTCTCATAGGAAAATAAGTCCATCATCTAGAGTGTTTTGGTCCTGCACAGGGTCAGGGCCGGGCTCTTCTATTTGCTTTGCCATCCTCGATGCGTGGCTCCCACTAATGGCCCAAGATAGCTGCTGAAGATCCAGCCATCACATCTGCATTTTAGCCAGTAGGACGAAAGAAGGAGGGAAGAAAATCTTGCCCTTCCCTTAAGGACATTTCCTGAAATGCACACACTCTACTTCTGCTATATTGGCCAGAACTTAATTCCAAGGCCACAACTAGTGCAAGGGAGACCAAGGAACGTAGTCTTCACTCCAGGTGGCTGTGTGCCCAGATGAAAATCGGGGGTCCTGTCACTGAGGAATAAGGAGAGGATGGATATTAGGGGTAATTAGCTACCTTGCCCCACCTTCCTCTTGGACAGGTAATGTGAAAAAGGAATATAGCATGCAGGCATCTGCATTTAGGTTTTCAATGCCATCATCAAAAACTGGTTCAAGAAGCGTAGACTGAAAACGCATAGGTTAGAAATCAGCCCACCCACAGCCTCGTTCCATTTAACAAAGGTTAGAAAGCTGAGATCCAGAGAGGTCAAGCGAATCGGCAGAGATCACACATCCGGTCAGTGGCGTCTCATGCCCAGCTCGCGTTCAATGCGGTATTTTGGTTCCTCTCCTCTCCTCCCCTCTCTTCTCCTCTCCTCTCTTTTCCTTTTCTTTTCTTAGACCGAGTCTCACTCTGTTGCCTAGGCTAGAGTGAGTGCCGTGGCATCAGCCCAGCTCACAGCAACCTCCAACTCCTGGGCTCAAGCGATCCTCCTGCCTCAGCCTCCCGAGTAGCTGGGACTACAGACATGCCCCACCATGCCCGGCTAATATTTTCTATATATCTTTAGTTGGCCAATTAATTTCTTTCTATTTTTAGTAGAGACTGGGTCTTGCTCTTGCTCAGGCTGGTCTCAAACTCCTGACCTCGAGCCATCCTACCGCCTCGGCCTCCCAGAGTGCTAGGGTTACAGGCGTGAGCCACCGCACCCGGCCTTCTGTTTCTTAAGAAAATAGCCTCACTCTGGAGGTGGAGGGACTTGAGCTCCAAGGGTAACATTCCGCCCTTCCCGGGTCCCTGGGCTGCAAGACCGGGGGACGACGGTGGGGTTCACCGGCCCCGACCCGCCCAGCCCTGCGTGGTGGCGGCTGGGGAAGCCGCCGGCGAGGACTGCGCGTGGGGCCGGCTGGCGCGTGCCCGGTCCTGCCTCCGAGTGTGCACGCGGCCCTGTCTCTCTCCGCGCCCGCCCCAAGTGCTGATCGGCCGGCGGGGGCTGCAGTCTGACGGGGCGTGCTTCTGTTTCAGGGGCGCCCCGCCGGCATGGGAGCCACCGAGAGGCCGCCCTGGTCCTTGACTGCCGCGCTGACCCTCAGCTGGCTCACCCTGGCCCGCCTCCCGGGGGCCGCACCCACAGGTGAGCACCCGAAGCCCTCCATGTGCCGTGGAGTGGGCTGGGGGTGGGGGCTGGGGGTGCCCTGGCCAGTCTTCACTGAACCCCTCGACCCCAGGCGAGTCCCGTCCTGGCACAGTCCTGGCACCCACAAAGTGAAGGGGTCGGGCTAGAATCGGGGGTCGCAACCCCAGGGTCTGCGGGAGCCAGGCCCCTGCCGTGCATGCGTGAAGCCGGCCAGGTAGGGGCTGTGTTCGTCCGGGAAGCTGAGCCCCTCTGAGGGGGCACCCCCTTCTCGGTTCCAGCCAACCGCCGCCTGGTGGGAAGGCAGGTCCCCTTCCACAGGATCTTCTGAATCTTTAAGAGAAGCCAGAAGTCTGTATTAATATGTAAAATCTCGCTAGCCTTTATTTTTTCCCCTCCCTCTCAGGCCATCCCTAGTCTTTAAATATTAGCAACTAACTCAAATTTTAAAAGCCCCTCTAGGGGCCAGAAGGAAAGCCCCCCATACCTGAGAGCCAGCTGGTCCTCCTCTCTCTGGGCCACCTGAGGTCGCTGCCCCCTTTCTGCTTTGGTGTCCTGAGATCTGGGCGCACTGAGGCGCTTCCCAGCTGGGACGGCCCAAGCGAGGCTTAGGTCTGGTTTCCTGTCTTGATGTCCTCGTCGACGTTTTCTCTACGTGATCTCGAATCAACATCCAGAAGCACAAGGCAGGTTTCCCGGACTGTGGGAACCAGACTCTGGGTAGACAACGAGAGACGGGGACAATCTGGAAACTGTGACCAGGCGTTCGGTGCCGTGACGTTGCCACCACCGCCGTTTGCTGCTCGTTCGACATTCTCACATTCGTCCAGCTTGATGCTTTTCTGCAGTGAGAACACAGAACCAGCACTGTGTTGCGTTTTGCTTTCTCAACCCGCTGGCGGGAGAAAGTGATCTGCAGTCGTGACTAGCGGGACTCTTCTGCTGTGACTTCTTGTAGACTCTTCCCTGTCCCTCGAGGACTTAGCCAGCCACGAGCGTCTTAGCTTTGGACGCAGCGACCGACAGTGCTGCCCGCATTCATTGATTACCCTTCTGCCATTTGCATGGGCTCTGAGCCAGGAACCGGGCTCGGGCAGGCCCACCTTCCAGGGCGACCCACCTGGGGAAGGTGTGCCCAGGTGCCCCCCTCGACCATGTCCTGGCCCCTCTCTGCGGCCCGCGCGTCAGCGTGCAGACCGGGACTGGTCTGTGGCCTCCTCTGACCGCAGAGGGGGCAGCAGCCGTCCAGGCCCCAAGTCCGTCGGCCTGCGTCCCCTCCCGGGAAAGGGAGGGCGGTTGCCATGGTGACGTCTCAGGGAAAGCACAGGCCCTGGCCGGCCACTCGCCTGCCAGTGGAGATCCCTGGACACGGGCCTTCGCCAGGAGCGCCGTGTCCAGCTCCGCCCAAGCGGTGTCACCCACCGGGGGCCGGTCCCGCCCCTGCCACCGCCGCAGCGCTTTAGCCGTGGTGCCGGAGCTCCTGCAGAGCTGGGGCTTGTGCTCGCAAGGGCAGGAGCGTCCGCGGCCGGACCGGCTACGCCCAGGTCCAGACGCCAAGTCGGAGGGGAACTCGCGCTGCACTTGGGGTGTGAACGGGGCCGTCGGGTGTCCTAGCGGGACTCGGGCTCTGACCCGAGGCTCTGCGCGGCGCGGTGAGCTGGCACGCGCCTTCCCGGCGTGCTCCTGGCTCCTCGCCTGGGCCGCCACCGTGCTCCCCGTTGACACACGTGTTCTCCGCGTGGCCTGGAGTCACCTGCTTGCACGCTGGCGCTCCGGTCCAGGGCTAGGCAGAGGAAGCCGGCTACGCGCTTGACCCGTCTGGGGACAAGCCCGGGTGGCTCCCTGACTGCTCAGGGCCGGAGCAGAGCCCCCCCACCCCGCCCCCGCGCTTCACGGGCAGCTCTGCTCCTGCGAGGAAATGCGGCGCCCCCTCACGAGCAAGCCACGATCCCACCACCGTGGGCTGGGCTGCTTGGCGTGCGCCATGGCCAGGAGCTGTGCGGGGAGACGCGGACAAACGGGAACTTGTCCCCGTGGTGAGCGCGGCCCCGAGCTCCAGTGGGGCCGACAGCCAGGCGGGTGGAGCCTGAGCACAGCTGTCTCGGGCTGGGCGGGAGGACGGCGGCAAGTGGGACTCGGCAAGCGTACATTGAGCGCCGCTGCATACGCTCTGCGCCTTGCAGAGGAGAAGGGAAGGGCCGTGGCTGCCTTCAGACGGGCAGAGAGGAGGCTGGGCCTGGGCGTGGGGGCGCAGGTAGCGCTGCTGAGGGTCGAGGGTCACGCTCCTTCCAGTCCTTGAGGCACGTGAATGCGGACAGACGCGCTCACTCCAAGGTCACTGAACACAAGTCAAGCTACGTGCAGAACTGACTCGCGGTAGTTACACCGAGCCCAGAGCCCTCCCGGGCCGTGGACGTGGCTCGCCACGCCGCCTTCCTGGAGACACGACCTCTCCTAGGCAACGCTGTTGGACCTGCCTGCGCTTCCTCCAGCTCTTGCGCCACCACCTGAGCCTTGCTCCACCACGGGCTCGCCCACGCCGCCTGCCACGGGCTCGCCCACGTCGCATGCCACGGGCTCTCCCACGCCGCCTGCCACGGCCTCCTACCCAGGTCACCTGCCACGGGCTCATGCCCAGGTCACCTGCCATGGGCTCACCCACACCGCCTGCCACGGGCTTGCCCACACTGCCTGCCACGGGCTCGCCCATGCCACCTGCCACGGGCTCATGCCCAGGTCACCTGCCACGGGCTCACCCACGCCACCTGCCACGGGCTCATGCCCAAGTCACCTACCACGGGCTCGCCCACCCCACCTGCCACGGGCTCATGCCCAGGTCACCTGCCATGGGCTCACCCACACCGCCTGCCACGGGCTTGCCCACACTGCCTGCCACGGGCTCATGCCCAGGTCACCTGCCACGGGCTCACCCACCCCACCTGCCACAGGCTCATGCCCAGGTCACCTGCCACGGGCTCACCCGCTGCCTGCTATGGGCTTGCCCATGTCACCTGCCCACGTCACCCCACCACGGGCTTGCCCACATCGTCTGCCACGGGCTTGCCCATGTCACCTGCCCACATCAGCCCGCCACAGGCTTGCCCACATCAACTGCCATGGGCTCATGCCCAGGTCACCTGCCACGGGCTCACCCACTGCCTGCCACGGGCTTGCCCATGTCACCTGCCCACATCAGCCCACCACAGGCTGGCCCACGTGGCCTGCCCACGTCACCTGCCCCCATCGCCCTGCCCCCGGGGCTTTCTGAGATCTGCCGTCTCCTTCTAGTCCCAGGCCCTGGTCTCCCAGCTGTCTACTCCCACCCTGCTTGCCCGTCGCCTCCTTGCTCCTCTTTCCCTCTGTTTTGTTCTTGCTCTCCGTGGGGCTGTGCCAGTTCCTGTGACAGTGGCAGCCCCACCCCCACCCCCGCCGTGGCGGCCTGCTGGGCAGACCCCACCAGCCGTGGGAAAGACAAGACTCCCCGCGGCACCCACGCGGGGCCTTTGGGTTCAGCCGAACATTCGGGCTCGGGGCGACAGACGCCTCGCTGGCCGTCACGGTCACTCGGGGACACGGGGCGGGAGACCCAGGTGCCATCGGGGCAGCATCTGTTTTCTGTCCCTTGGCGAGGTCCTGGCGGCCTGGCACACGGCCACTGGGAGCTATTGTCCTCGGTCCCCGGGCGGCGGCCCGGTGGGAGGACACAGGCGCCATCGGGCCAGCGTGGGAGCCGCTCCGTCCCGACTGTCCGACGGCAGCTCCGAGACATGACATTCAGGGTCCCACAGAACATCCAATTGTGCGAGCCACCGTGCGGCAGGGCAGCCCAAAGCGCATCCGCCCGGGTGTCCGTCTGTCCCTCTCTCTGCTCAGTGCAGGTGCCACTTCCAGCCAGGGTCCCTTTTGTCACAGGCAATGTTGCTAGGTGACGTGGTTTATATAATGCCATCCTTCTCCGGTTTCCAGGGGAATTGAGCTGGAAAATGAGCCGAAAGTCTGATTCTCATGCAGAAGGGGGTAGAGTTTTGTTAACTCCCCAAACACCGCTTTCTAGCAGGCGGGGTACCTTGGAAGCCCCGTCATTAGGGTGAATCACTGCACAGCTTCAGGTCTGTTAGCATGTCCCGAGGAGCCGTCCAGGCTGCCCTTTAATTTTTAAATGGGGACACTGAGCCCAGAAAGGGGAAAGACGTGTTCGCAGAGACAGGATGAACTAACGGAAGGCGTGGGCCTGGCCCCAGTCCCGCCTCCCACCTCTGGGGTCTCCCGGCTCTCTGAAGCCTCAGTCCGAAACCGGGGAGGCACGTGGCCCCCCAGGTGGTCTGTAGCGACTCTTCCCCGGGGAGGCTGCCGGAGGGAGCGGTGACGTCTCTTTGTCCTTGGCAGTGGCCACCGAGTGCCCTGACCAGAGCCCCGAGCTGCAGCCCTGGACGCCCGGGCACGACCCGGACCACCGCGTGCACATCGGCCGGGGCCGGACGCTGCTGCTCACGTCTTCTGCCACGGTGCATTCCGTCCACATCACAGATGGAGGTGAGTCAGCCTCCCCGACACCTTCTGCCACGGCCCCGGAGCCCCGCAGACGGGCGCAGGGGCGTGGCTTCCGTGGATGAGAACAAGCATCCTGAGCTCAGGGCCCACACCGGGTGTCTGGTTGTCTGAGACGGCCGCCAGCTCTGGGGACTCAGCACTGGCTTGTCGTGGGGGGCGTCTAGTCTCAGTAAAAGGAGCTTTCATTGGGGGGCTCCAGCCGGTGCTGCAGGGTGAGCCCAGGCAGGGACGGCAGCCGACCGGAGGGGCCTTGTCCACACACGCAGGGCAGAGCGGAGAGGAGAGGAGGAGGAACAACCAGCCCCCGCATCCGTGGGCTCTTCCTCTGTGGCTTCGACCAACCACGGATGAAAAATATCTGAAAAAAATTTGCCATCTGTGCTGAGCACATACACCCTTTTTTTGGTCATTTTTTCTCCTAAAAAACACAGTTTAACCACCATTTACGTGGCAGTCACATTGCGATGGGTACCACAAATAAACTGGAGATGATTTCTCATACACGGGAAGCCGTGCACAGGTCACATGCAAATATGCGGACACAACCCTACTTTATGTCAGGGACCGGAGCATCCTCCAATTCCGGTGTCCCAGGGAGGTGCCGAAGCCCGTCCCCACGGTTACTAAGGGACACCTGTACCCGCGGGCACAGCAAGCGCACGCGTGTTTGGGGGATGTGCTTTTCCCCTGCTGGGCGGGGCGGGGGCTGGGGGGGGTCTGCCCCAGGCCCTGCCACAGCCCCACCCTTCACACGCGTGTTCCGAACCGCGCCCGTTCCTCCCCCAGGCAAGCTGGTCATCAAGGACCATGCGGAGCCGATTGTCCTTCGGACCCGGCACATTCTGATCGACGAGGGCGGGGAGCTGCACGCGGGCAGCACGCTCTGCCCCTTCCAGGGCGACTTCAGCATCGTTCTGTACGGCAGGTGGGTGGCCGAGCCGGGCAGGTGCTGCTCCCACCTGGCGGGGTGGGGGTGGGGAGGAGGGGGTGTGTCTAAAGCAGAGAGGGAGGCTCGAGGCCGGCCTTAGCGTGAGGTGGGAGCCATCGTTCCGTCCTGCCAGGGGGACCGGGAATTAGAGCTGGTGCTTTGGCGGGGGTGGAGAGACCAGGAGGCTTGTGTTTGCGGGGGCCGGGTGCCGTCCTGTGCCACGGAGGTCGTCCTTCAGCCACTCTGCGACCGTGTCCTGTTCTAGTAGGCTCTGCCAGCGTTTGCGATGAACAGGACATGGGAGACTCCATGGCAGCCGCCTCTGGCTGTGCCCCCACCCCCACCCCCGTAAGCAACTGACAGCTCTAAGGAAGTGGTAGCTGGCCAGGCGCGGTGGCTTACACCTGTGATCCCAGCACTCTGGGAGGCTGAGGCGGGAGGATCGCTCAAGGTCAGGAGTTCGAAACCAGCCTGAGCAAGAGCGAGACCCCTTCTCTACTATAAATAGAAAGAAATTAATTGGACAACTAAAAATATATAGAAAAAATTAGCGGGGCATGGTGGCACATGCCTGTAGTCCCAGCTATTTGGGAGGCTGAGGCAGGAGGATTGCTTGAGCCCAGGAGTTGGAGGTTGCTGTGAACTAGGCTGACGCCAGGGCACTCCAGCCCGGGCAATAGAGCAAGACTCTGTCTCAAGACAAAACAAAACAAAACAAAACAAAACAAACAAACAGACAAAAAAAAACAATAACAAGCAGTGACAGCCAAGAGCACACAAGTGGGTGCGGTACCTGCCCAGGTGCCCCCACACCCGATGCACCGAAATACGAAACACCTAGCACTGGAGAGAAGAGACACCAACGTGCAAATGAATAGGAACGCCCGCTCGCCCCTCCGGGCCCCGCTTTGGTCTGGCGCAGAGAGCGGGTCGCTGGTGCTATTTTCGCTGACCTTGGGCGGCCCCCAAGCTGTGGCCGGCTCGGTGGCGGCCATGGTGGGAGTCAGGGCGCAGTGGGTGCCCCTCCCAGGCCCCTCCGGGCTCGGCATCCAGTGAGGAGACGTGTGGCCGGCGCCGGGCGCCGTTTCTCCCGCAGGGCGGACGAGGGCGTGCAGCCGGACCCCTACTTCGGCCTCAAGTACGTGGGCGTGGGCCGCGGTGGCACGCTGGAGCTGCACGGCCGCAGGAAGCTGTCCTGGACCTTCCTCAACAAGACGCTCCACCCGGGCGGCATGCAGGAGGGCGGCTACTTCTTCGAGAGGAGCTGGGGCCACCGCGGAGTCATCGTCCACGTCATCGACCCCAAGTCGGCCACGGTCCTCCATTCTGACCGGTGAGGCTCGAGATCGCCCGGGCACGCGCCCGCTCACGTGGGCCAGGCGTGCCGCTCGTGCGTGTGCCCCGGCCGGGCGCTGCTCCGGGTGTCGCCAAGGGAGCAGGAGTCCCTGCCCTCGGACACGTGGTTAGAATATCTCTTTTTCTGGCCGCCGTTAAAGCGATTCCAATCCCTTCCCCGCCCGTTTTAGGTTCGACACCTATCGATCCAAGAAGGAGAGCGAACGTCTGGTCCAGTATTTGAACGCGGTGCCCGAGGGAAGGATCCTCTCCGTCGCGGTGAATGATGAAGGTTCTAGAAACCTGGACGACACGGCCCGGAAGGCGATGACCAAACTGGGCAGCAAACATTTTCTGCACCTGGGATTTAGGTACGGCCCCTCACCTCCACCTCCACCGGGCCCTGGAGCGCTGAGGCAGCCCGGCCCCGCCTGGACTTTAGCTTTTCCTTCCCTCCCCGACAGCCGTGCCCACCTGAGTGGACGCAAAGGTCCCCCCAACCTAGAGGGACGCAAAGCTCTTCGTCCATCTTCATGTAAACAGACAGCTTTTATGCTTTGTGAATGGACTATGCTTATAAGAAAAGCCAGGCTTCCTTTAAGAACAGCCCTGGACGTATTTGAGGGCTGTTCTTAAAGGAAGCCTGGCTTTTCTTATAAGCATAGTCCATTCACAAAGCATGAAAGCTGCCTGTTTACGTGAACTCATTCATTCAGTAGCCACCGGCAGAGTATTCAGTGAGCACCCACTGTGCGTGAGAGCCACGCCTCGGGCGTGCAGCTAACGTGCCTCCTCCCTGTCCTTGGCAAAGGGGTCGCGTCATGCCTTGGGGACTGGCAGACAGTTTTCTTTAGAGATTATGCTAAGTGTGATCTGCTCGGCCAAGCACCCAGGAAAAAGGGGCCCTTTGGCACGTTCCAGTGTGTGCTTTGTTGCCTTGGATCGTGGCGTCGTGCCTGGCGTTGGCGTGGGCACGCACACCTTGGCACCAAGAGGAAGCCGTCTGCCCGAGGCAACCGCGGCTCTTCTTGTGCTGAATCAAACCTCGGCCCGGTGGAGAGGCGGGGCTGTCTGGGCGTTGAGACGCCCTCCCTGCAGCCCTCCAGATCCGGGCAAGGTTGGGGGCAGGTTAAGGCCGCTAGCCAAGCAATCCTGCCGGCCGGGCAGAGATCCCCGGCCGGGGAGGGGAGCGCCGGGTTCCAGGAGAGGTTGCTCTCCGACAGCCCGGGGCTGCTCCTTCTGGAAGGGAAGCTCACGCAGGAAGCTGAAGCAGCCAAAGATGACAGCGATAGCTTGGCACCTTCGCTCCTTTGCCGGCAGATGCTAAGTGTGCTTCCCTCTCATTGTTTGACAACCAGGAGGCCGGTTCATTGATTTGGAATGAGAGAGGGAACCTCAAGGGGGCCGGCCACTCGGGGCCTCGTCCAAAGAGGGTGGTGGCGGAGGCCCGAGATCTGGCATCCAGCCGCCGAGCCTGAGTCTGGCCGCCTCTCCCGTGGGGCGTGACTGCAGGCAGGCGGCTCATCCCCTCTTTGCTCGGCTCCTGAGCCTGCAAGACGGGACACACGGGCTCTCTCGCAAGGGACTGTTGGGGGGATTGAATGCAGTAACGTGAGCAACATGCTGGCCGTCCTGTCCAGCGCGGAATAAGCACTCGATACGTGTGAGCGATGATTTCGCCCACATAAACGAGGGCCGCAGAAAGGTGGCCCGTTAGTCAGGGCCGTCCAGGTGGGCAAAGGAGGCAGGTGGCAGGACCCACCCCCCCTCACCTGGATGGAGAGACAGGTGGAGCGACGAACTCCACACCTCTAAAGTCAGCGGCCGAGCTGCTGAGACTCGCGTCCGGGAAACGTCACGGGACTTGAGTTGGCGGGAGGCGCCGGCCAGGCCGGGCGTCCGGGGCTCTCGTGGGGAGGCGGGCGCGGGTGGGGGCTGGTGACGGGCACGAGAGCAGGAGCGTGGGGCGGGGGGAGATGGTGCCGACCTACAGGGGAGGACGTGGCAATGCAGCTTCCCCCAGGGAGACCGGCAGGGCTGGGGGCTCCAGGCCAAAGCCGCCCTTGGGAAAGAGGGGAGCCCAGGCAGATGTGGGGGCGAGGGGCCCGAGCCAGGCTGGGCAGGGGCGCGCAGGAGGGCCTGGGCTCTGCGCCAAGCGGCTGGATTCGGGCAGGAGAGAAACACCGCCGAGTCCTGTCCCCTGCTAAGCACCGATCTGTAAGGACTCGCTGCCCAGGGCGAGAGATGGGAACAAAATGGTCCGGGCCGCTCAGCACCAGGATCTGTGACGGCCCCGTGAGAGAGGCCGCCGCAGGGGAGGGCAGCGTGTCATCCCCCACCCGCCCGCCCACGTTCGGGGCTGGGGCCCTGTCACACGCGGCGGGTCAGCAAGTTCAGAAGCGCACGGGCGGGTTTCCCAAGGCGGGTGTCTGTGCCAGGGAGCCTTCCCCAGAGGGCCCAGGGCCAGGGTGGCGGGGACCGTGAGCTCCTGTCGTCACCCGGAGGACGCTCGGCACGGCCTGTCCCTCCAGATTCCTCCCCGGCCCCTCTGTCTTGGGAGCCGAGGGCGCTCTTCCCACTGGGGACCCGGGCCTCTCACACGGGGTCTCACGGCCTGCTCCGGGGGGAGGTCAGAGCATCATGCTTCCTGCCGCTTCTCAGAGTCTTTGACCCTAAAACTCGCCGAGGTGCCACGTTTGGGGGCCGCCTGTCCTGAACCCCAGCCCCGCTCTGGGCATCAAGGGCAGACAGACGCGGGAGGGGACTTCCCGGCTCCACGGTTGTACACGTGTTAACGCGGGAACCACGGTGTCCCGCTTCTCAGAGCCTGGGACCTTCTTCTTCTTGCGCCCTGCCCATTAAGGGCAAGAGCGACTCCTCTCCTTCCCGAGGCCCCGGCAGCCGTGACGGCGGCCTCTGGTGTTTTCCTCGAGCTTGGCTGCAGGGGAGCCGGGCGGGGACAGGAGTGGCCTTTGGCTCTCGGAACGCGCGCAGTTCCCTGCTTTTCCTGAAGGCAGCGAGCACTCGCTCCGGGTCATAACCGGGCTTGGCAGGTGGCACCGCCGGCCGTCGGCTTGTTTATTTGCGATTCACCCCGGCTCCTGCCAGGGAGGAGGCGTGGGTGGCGAGCACAGGGCAGGGGCGGGGAGGGGCCGGCAGGTAGAGCTCTCCGGGGAGGCTCTGCTCTCCGAGCGGGGAGGCCGGGCGAGCGGACGGACGGCCCCCGGACTCGGGGACGGCGGCTCGTCCGCCTGATGCCCTTTCAGCTGCGTCCCTGGCGCAGGTCCAGACTCGGGAAGAACGCGGCTTCCGTGTTTTCCAGGCACCCTTGGAGTTTTCTGACTGTGAAGGGGAACCCCTCCTCTTCGGTGGAAGACCACATCGAATACCACGGTAACGAACGGTGGGCAAGGGCCGCCCCCCCACCCCTGCCTGCACGCTGGGTCCCCGGGTGGGCCTCCCCCCAGAGCCCAGCTCAAGTGGCAGCAGCTTCCCTGGCCACGTCACACGGCAGTGGCAGAGGGTCACACGGCTGTGGCAGAGGGTCACACGCAGTGGCAGAGGGTCACGCGGCAGTGGCAGAGGGTCACACGGCAGTGGCAGAGGGTCACACGGCAGTGGCAGAGGGTCACACGGCTGTGGCAGAGGGTCACACGCAGTGGCAGAGGGTCACGCGGCAGAGGGTCACACGGCTGTGGCGGAGGGTCACACGGCTGTGGCGGAGGGTCACACGCAGTGGC